GAATGTAGTTTTCTTCTTTCTGTACTTAAGCTAGTTATATATAGTTAGCAGTTTAATAGTTAGCTCTAACTGCAAGTATTGGCCTCAGCTATAGCATTTATATAGAATTATTTTTGTATATACTAACCCATGAAGTTACTAACTTTAAAAACTACTAATAAAGATATGAGCAAGGCCTCATCTTAATATCAAAAAAAAGTAATATTTTTATTTATATTTAAGTTAATAAATTTTTCTTTAAATATTAATATTAAACTATAGTTTTAAAATATAAAAAGAATAATTAGTTATTGAAATATAAATAGTTGTATTATTTTAAATAAAATTATAATTAAATAATAATTAAATAATAATCAAAAATTATATAATTTAATATTCTTATTTGATCTTTTCTATATTTTATAAGTAAATAACTGTTTTTTATTAATTCTTTATAAATATAATATATAGCAATTTTTATATATCTATTTATTAATTTTGTAAAATATTACTTTTATAACAAAGAAGAAACTTGGAATTTTTGAATTATAATATATAAGTTTTTTTAATAAAACTTTATCAGATATTTTATCATAATACAAAAATGCAATTAATTTATATTTTAATATATATTTAGATAAATAGTAACAATTATTTAACTTTGTCAAAAATGATCAAAAATAATACAATATATAATTTGTAATAAATGCATAATTATTGACAATAATAACAACTATTAAAATTTTAATATTTAAAAAAAAATACTATTTGTGAATAAAATAAAAAAAATTAAAAAGAAAAAGTATAAAATTGTACAAAATATTAACATTTAAAAAAATTTTTTTTGTTGCATTATTTATAATTGTTACTGTAGTACTACTAAAGTTTATATAATAGTAGTACTTCTTCTTTTTACTAATTTTTAGAATTTTAATTTTATTTCAGACTATTTAATTACTATATTATACTATAGTTAATTCTTATATTATTTATTAAAATTTTAGTATGGTTTTTTATTTACAATTTTTATTTAGTATTTCCAAACTTCTAATTTAGATAGTCTAAAAAAAACTATACCATATTTTTAACATAACTAGTATATATTCTTTTTCTTCAGTCTAAATTTTGACAGCCTAGTTGGTGCAAGTATCTTGTCTTAATATCCATTTTTCATTCAGTTTTTCTAAGCTTAAAAACCTTTTCTAATATCTAATCTTTATAATAGTACTGTTAAAAATTTATGCTATCTTTCTGCTTAGGGTTTGCAAGCAAACTTCTATTTATTTTATAAATTTATATTAACACGGGTATTAATTTACTATAAGAACTAATATTTTATTAAAGAAATCGTATTTCATTTATTTTCTTTTCTATCCATTTTTAACTTATATTTTGTCACAAAATAAAGGTGGGGTCTTTGCCTTGAAAATCAAGTTTGGATCATATGATTTACTATGTCCCATAAAGTCATTTTCAAGGCAAAGACCCCAGGTAATCTCATATGTAGAAACACAAAAAATATGATAAACTACAACTACAGCTCACATTATAATGAAATTCTCAAGCTTGAAACAAAAGTACTGTAACTTATATTGAAAGAATACTAAATACACTATACATTATATCAAGAGTTCACTATAACAAAAATGGATTGTATTTGGGTAGACCTGTTTTTTCCGTTATATACAGTAAATCATGAGTATAATTCAAAACTCTGCAGTCTTTTATACCAAAGCTTACTACTTTATGATGATCGCTGGACATGACGAACATGAAAATTTAAGTCTGTTTTAATTGAGTTTGTTTTAGAACTTGACAATCTTTTATAGCTTCTATTGAATTATTTATTTGTGTAAATTTGATTTATGAAAGCAGATTCGTTTATAATTCAATTATAGCCAAAGCTTGCTATAATTGGCTTTTTTATAACGAACATAACGAACATGAAATTTAATGTACATTGGTTGAGTTAGAAAAGTAGGATTTTCTATATTCAATAATTCGATGTCATTTGTATGTTTAGAATATGTTTAACAATTTATTCTGAACTAATAGTATGGTTCGTTATTTTGACGTACACAATTTCCAGAAAGCTAATAATTCTTAGCTCTGGAATTGTCTCTCGAAATAAAGGCATGATAATTATTTTTAATAATACCGTGGTACACAAAATAATAACAATAAAGTATTAGCAAAAGCATGAAAAATAAACTTTGGAACCAATTTTCTAGAAAATCTTAAGGTCGAAGATCATGTGACTGCGCCCTCGATTGCTGGTAACGCTGGAACTTTTTAGTTTTGACCCAGGGCAGATACTACCAAGTTTAACGAATCAAACGACACATATAGAAAACAAAAGAAAATATACATGCAAAGATAAATTAAAAAATTTTTATAACAGTGTACTGTACAGCACTAAAACATTAAAAACATTATAATATTAAATCAATGAATTATTGAAACGTTCACTGAATCGCTAAACTACTATTTGCTGAATCAATAGAACACTATTCATTGAGTCATAAGATCTAGAACACAAAGTCATAACAAGTCACAGAAATGTGTCACTTTACGTACTTATGGTACGCCATGTTTATTTTTATGCAAATTCTATCGGCATGATGCGCACGCACGTACTTACACATACAAATACATTTTGTCAACTACCGGGTCTAGTTTAGCCTGTTGGTTAAATCAGATACCGATGTCTAAAAATAGAATAAAAATTAAATTGACCAAATTTGAAAGAAATTCTAAACGGATCTTCTTGAATTTTTGAGAAATGTCTTTACGAAAATACTTTGAAAACCTCACTTTGGCTGATTGTCTTCTTCTGACCGCTCTTTTCTTTTTTTCCTATGTCGTCCAATTTTACTATAAGCACTTTACTCGTCCAAATAAATTACCAGGTCCTTTCCCCCTTCCAATTATAGAATGCGCTTATTGTTTTAGGGGTGATATTAGGCAATTATTCACCTCGTTAACCAAAAAATATGGGGACATTTACGAAATTCAACTTGGTGGTATACGACGAATTATAATTTCACGCCCGGAATATATTGAAAAGTTTTTTAACAATTCCACAAAACACTCAACATTTATGTCAAGATTGCCTTATACTCAAGGGATAGAAGAGCTTGGAGTTGCTAGAAAAGGATTATTAAATAATGATGATTTTAAAAGTTGGAGATTTAATCGTCAATTCTTTACTCAAGCAATCTTATCACCCAGTTTTAATAATGAGGCAATTAACCGGACAAAATTGTTATTTGAAGAATTAGAAGGGTATTGGAAATCTCTCGGTTCAACTAATCCTGATGATGAAGAGTGGTCATTAAAAACAGATTTCTCGAAATGGTTTCATAGATTTACTAATGACATGATTGTTGTTCTAACCACTGGTGAACGTTCCTATTCGATGGGATCATATTATAATACTCTAAGTCCTGTAAAAGCATCACATCCAGATACGTTAATCGATGATTCGGATAGATTTGTTAAAGGTATTACCCAATTTGTTGTCGGTGTATCACTTTTTGTGTTCTTGGGTCCGTTTATGCGGCATTATGTTCCAATTATTAGAGATAAAGCAAATTCTGTATTAAAAAATCGAGATTACTTGTTTGGAAAGTTGGATACAATTATTAGAAAAAGGAGGCAAGAGATAGAAGTGATGCAGAATAAAGAATTAAAACATGACATGTTAACTTCTTTAATTGTCGCCAACACCGAACGAGATATTAATTACAAAAAAACTGTTGGAGGAGAAATATTTCTACCTATGACCGATATAGAAATCAGATCTAATATTTTAGACGCTTTCTTAGCTGGAACAGACACTGTAAAGTATTTAAACATTGATTATTTACTTTTTCCGTATTTATTTTGTTAATATTATTTAAATATGTTCATTATAGACCGCAAACCTATTTAGTTTTATAACTTACTACTTATGCCATTATCCTGAAGTAAAACGAAAAATGCTTGCCGAGATTGATTCAATAGTTCAGCCAAAAAGTTCCTTCCAGTTAACACACAATGATCTCTCAAAATTAAGGTATTGCGAAGCAATTATTAAAGAAGTTGAACGGATATTTCCTGTTGTAAATCTAACGTCAAGATATGCTGCTTCTCCTATTGAGATTGGAGGATATCAATGGCCAGTTGGAACAACGTTTCATATTGATTTTGTTAGCTTACACCGACATAAAGATTATTGGTCCAATCCAGAAGCTTTTGATCCTGATCGATTTTTTCATGATAAGATGAATGAAAGTTATTTAAATGTAAAATATGAAAATATTATCAAAGATGATCATAATAATAATACGAAAGATGAAAAAGTTGGGAAAAAATATTCATTTGTAATGTTTGGTGGTGGATTTAGAATTTGTCCCGGAAGGAAGTTAGCAATAATTGAGTTGCTTTCTCTTATGGTATACGTATTTGGGAAATATGATGTTGAATTAGTTGATAAGGAATCTCCATTAAAAACCAAATCTTCCGCAATCACTAATTGTCAAGAACTGATGGTTAAAATTAAGCCTAGGTTTCAGCAATTATAATGAATGAATCTTAGCGCATATCCTACACTTGGAAATACGGAAGATTCAAAGATATTAAATGGTGTTTCAGCACCCCAAATGTTGTATTTGTTTTCTTTATGGCATTTAAATATCGTATAATTTGGTTTTTTTATTAAGTTATCAGTCATTCTATTTAAATATATCATATAAGTTTTTATCATATCATAAATAAAGCACCAAATTTTCAATTTTTACAATAAAAAATTTTTCAAATGAAACTTTAATCAAAACAATATCATTTTCGCTCGGAGTCTCTATACTAATGCTTTAAAATATAACATTTTTCCACTTAAATTTGCTCAAAGATACATCATGTAGAAAACTATGGGAATGATCAAGTTATTATAGTTTGCCACGCCAAATCCCAAACTTAATCTCAAAAACTTTATTAATAATCTTTATTTAAAACTAATTAAAATAATATATTTTTATAATACCAGGAACGGAGTTTGTACAACGTAGTGTATGGTTTATAGGCGATTCAGATGTGGGTGTACAAAATCTTGGATATGATTGGATGATCGATCCTTGTGACTTATCTCGTGATTTCCGAATTTGTGCGTTATATAACTTTTTTGCATCGATATCATGCTTGTATTTTAAAGTGTTTAGATTTTTTATTTAGTCATTGATTTTAACACGGCCCTTACTATTTATTATCGTGGCTTTTTGATTGTCAGGTTATTGCCTGTTTTAAACAAGATCCCACCTGTATTATCAATTTTGTTATGCAGCCTTTTTACTATTTTATGCCTTTCGTTTTCATTGATCTATCTTATTTCGTTTTCGCATGATTTGGAGTTGCGCTTTCCGTTATAACGGTTTACTTTATCCCAGTGGTTTATATGCGATTCAGATATCGATGTGCGAAATCTTTGACCTGATTGGATAATCACGTCTTGTGACTTTGTGTAGTACTCCGAACAATGCTAAAAAGGATGCGAGATTTTTGATTGATAGTTGAATAGATTAATATTGTATAAAAAAATTCTATGCATTAAAATTTGTAAAATATGCAAATTTTTTATAAACTGACATTTTGTTGGTTTATTTTTAGATTTGAATCATTTTAGTATATTGAGTCTATTTATAGTAACACTTTAATTTCATTCAAATTTAACCAAATTAGATTCAAGTTGACTAAATTCAGAGTAGCTTTAATCTGAATTTGGTTCAAGTTAAGACAAACTCAGATTAGCTTTAGCCTAAATTAGTTTCAACATGAACTAAATGCAAATATAATTAATGGTGCAGATGGATTAACTCATATTAGAGTGCAATCATGTGATTAATATTACAAATTTTAATAGACAATTCTGTATATAAGATAAGTTATACTAGTTACAAAATTATGTGATAGGTTAATTTAATTTAAGTTAAAATAGAATTTCTCTTATTTTTATTTAGAATAATCTAATTTATTAAAAAATTATTATATTAGAGGTTGACTTTAAAAAATTAATAATTTTTTATATTACTTAATGATCTAAATTGTAATTCAGATTATAATCTAAATTAAATATCTAATTTGCTTTAGTTAGATAATAACTATATTTAAAGCCTATTATCTTTTAATAATGCTTGAATTTCTATTATTTTTTTATAAATTATATAAGGAGTTTCTTGCTTCTTTTCTGATCAATTCTGAATTTCTATAATCCAATCTAGATATTATTATCCTTTATTTAATTTTTAAAATGTAATATTCTTTCTTTATAATAGTTTCTAAAATACAAGGTTATTACCAGTGTTTATTTTTCAGTTAAACTTTACATGTGGATGCCGCACAATTTGGAAATTTTTCTGTGTGACAAATAAAGAAAATCTATAAGCAACTTTGTGTACTACTTACAAAATGCTAATTTTTCTGTGCGGCATACGCACATCTGTTCGAAAGGAAGTGTGTGCAAAGTTTTGATTCTGTGCGCTGCGCACAGTCCGCACAGTGAAAAATAATCACTGGTTATTACTATGTATTTGTTAATAAAAGTTAATCTATATACTATTACTATTCCAAACTATTTATTTATTAAAATAAACTATTGCATCTACACCTCAAACATAATTGCAATAATCAATTCCTATATTAAGAACTTTGTACATTATACCAAAAAAAGACAACTCTTTAATAACAATTTATAATAAATTAAAAAAAATAGTACTCTGTAATAATGCTATTTCTCTAATAAATTACAATTCAAAACTTTCTGAACATACTTTAACATAAGAATATGATTTTTTTTTTAGATTTATTGTAATAAATTAATTTTTTCAAACTGTTCACAAAACCTTCTATAAGCTTTTGAATTAAAACTTTTTACAAATAAGATTGCATTTAGATATCTTAAATCAATTATCATATACTATTTAGACCTTTTTCTTGGTACTAAAAATATTAATCATCTTTCTTTTTTTTTTTAAAAAAAAAATAAGACCTTGCTTGTATCTTTATTAGTAATCTTAAATTTAATGATAATATAAATTACTACTATACGTATGCATCTGATGTAGCAATTCAAGAATAAATAGGTAAAATACAATGATTGATGATTAGATGAAAGGATCTTAGAATTTATAATTATGTATGTTCCAATGGATAAATAAATTCGTGCTATTAATTTTCGTAAATTAACTGCCGGGTCTAATTTACAACAGTTATCGTAATTTTGGTAAATCCTGGTGCAACTGGATAAACGAATCAATAAGTCACCGACGTCAGTTGAAATCAAAAACTTATCGATTCTGTCCTTCATTTATCCAAAATTTTATGAAAACAGCTTTGCAGCTGTTTTAATAAATTCTGGAAAATCTAGCAAAAATTAACAGACTTAAGATTTGCGATTCGATAAGTTTTGATTTGATTGTGATTACATCCTATTCAAAAGTTTATCACTGCCAAATTACAGTTGTTTTCATAAATTTTGGAAAATCTTGTAAAAATTGACCAACCGAATATTTGCCAATTCGATGTTTTGAATCAAAAGTTATCGAATCGGCAAATATAATTTTTGCCGGATTTTCCAGAATTTATTAAAATTGCTGTAAAGTAAAACTTCAATTTGAGTTCTTTTTTTTTATTCTAGGCCGGGTATAGGCTCAAAAATATTTTGGGGATTCGTTTGGGGTCAAGACAAGCCCGGCTTGACACAGCTCTTCATTTTGCAAATCACAATATTTGCAACTCACTTCTTATTTAGTTTCATATTCACATTAAATAAGTCTGTGAATATATAATTATAATTTACTAAATGAAGATTAAGCTATTCATTTCCGATTTGGTTTTAATAATTTAGTCTATATAAAACAAACTATTCACTCTCTGACTTCTTAATCACTAAAAATTGAATTGGTTTATCGTAATATCATCATTATTGCAATTTGAAAGGAATTTATTAATATTGGCATTTAATTCATACTTTATTACGTTATTTTATATAAAAGTATAAAATATGCAAATAACAAATCCCGTATTTAACCTTATAAAATTTCTGTGGTTTTGCCACGGGATAATATTCAGGTATAGAATAAACTGTTTGATTTCTTAGGAATGATAGGATTAAACAGTCATTAACATAACTTTCATTTACATTAATTATTAAACAAGCAAGGGTATTTTTTTTTTGTATTATTTTTTGCTAATAGAATTTTGTCTTAGTCAACTTATTACCATAACAACCGCATTTACACCTGCTAGTCGTATTTACCAAGGCAGCGTCATTATTGAAAATAAAATATACTTCCTAGGTGGTTTAAATATTCCAAATGTTGGCACTAGTGATTTATTTTATTTAGATATTTCATCCCCGTTTAATTCTGAAAATCTTAAGTGGACAAGTCTTACACCTATTCCTGTTAAGAGTGCGTTCGCGCCTTCTTGCTTTGGTGGTAGTAATAATTCTACCATCTTTTTATTTGAACATCGTAGGACAGATAATGTTGATTCATTTACTTTAGTGACATTTACCTTTGATATAGTAAATCAAAAATGGAATGCACCACAAACGTTAGGGAATGCACCACCTTCAAGACAGAATATGGTTGCGGTTGTTGATAAGAATGGCTCAATATATATTAATGGTGGATTTGACCCGCATGCAATTAAATCGAACAATAACACCTATATATTCAATTCTTTGAGCAATTCTTGGCTTAATAATGGCCCTGATGCTCCAATCATTCGAGCTGCTTATACTGCAACACTTTTACCAAGTGGGCTTATTGTATATATAGGAGGAATTCAAGATTTTCCGAATGGAACGATAGATTATTCGCTTGCAGAAATTGGTATGGACAAAGTAAGTTAAAAATTTTGACAATTAAATCTTTTATTATTGTTAAATATGGGGTTTTTGTTATTTCTAATTAGATTTCAGTTTATAATACGACTTCTGGAACTTGGTCTTTGAAGGTAAATAAAATATTCTTATTGTATTTACTCGGATTTATATATATATATATAAATTAATTAATAATAGACAGCGGTTGGTGGCGTCGCAATTGGGACACGCGTATCTCATACTGCCGTTTTAAGTATGTAACAGATTATTAAATATTTTATAATAAATTTGTGTACTGATACGTATAATACAGTAAATGAAACCCTGCAATATTCACATGCTAAAATCAGACATTTCATGTGCATATCGCGAGATTGTGACTAAAGCGAGAAAAAAGAATCAAAGTGATTATAACAGGATTGTGATAAATGCTGATGTGACTATTGCGGGATTTCTTGTAATATGTTTGACTATATGTTATTACCGAAAAGTTTCGCTTACACAACACATATTTTATACGGTACAAAATTTTCTATTTATAACTTACAAACATTCTTATTTGAATTTATTTCAGGCAATGATTCTACTATTATTATTTATGGTGGTGCTTCTAATAATTTTACAAAAAACCCATATCCGTCTTTGGCTGCATTAGATACGAGTGTTGAACCTTACAAGTGGTCCGAAATAAATTCTGTCGGTAATGATCCACGCCCTCTTGCCTATCATTCAGCTCAGAGATTTAAAAACTATATGATCGTTGCATTTGGTGATTATATTAATTATATTAATTAGCTAAAATATTGTATATTGATCATCATTAAAATATTTATATATTTTCTAGGTGCTTTCTTTTCAGCGAATAAGGGTTTTGATTTGGCAACTGCTCCTAATAATGATGTTTACATATTAGACACTTCAAATTATACATGGGTTAAATCTTTCGATTTAAATCCATCAAGTTACTCATCAAGTTACTCATCAAATGACTTCGATAAAATTCCATTAATTGCTGGTCTTAGTAGTGGCTTACTTGCATTAATTATTATTGCAAGCATCATAGGTTGTTTTTGTTATAGAAAACACCATAATTATATTCCTACTCCAGGTACAAATATTGATGATAAGTATATTGCTACTCCAGGCACAAATATAGAGGATCGTAATTATATTCCTACTCCAGGAACAGATACTCGCGAACGTAATTAGCCTATATATGTTATATCATTTATTGACTTCTATCAATTTGAATCAACATGTATCATTTGTGATTCAATGAATAATGAATAATGTATGTCGTTTTAGATTAGTATGAACTTTACGACCAATTATTTATTTTTATTTGTTTAAAAAATTATTGAAAAATAAAATTATATATATTTTTTAAAAAAAAATTCGTTTGCATCTATCACATATCAAACAGCATGCGAACTTTATTGTTATTGACTGAATTTTGTAGATCTCGTCATAAAGTATTAAAGTAACGATGTTCTGCCACGAGAGTCACAAGAATTGATTCGCAGCTACGAATGCGAATTCACAGAGGTTATAATATAAAAATTTAGAAACTATCTATACCTTCATCTCTATAAAACGTTAAAGTAATTTGGTAATCGACAAGGTAATTCTGAAGTTAGATGTGCGCAACTTTTTAAGTATTCTAAAACTTTCTTTTTTTTAAAAAAAAATGTGAGGTCTTGCCTTAGTTTCTTTATTGAAATTTACATATGTAGTACGTCAAAATTTACATGTAGTTATATATTATTTTTGATGAAACTAGAGCTTAGGTTACTTTATCTACGACTCATACTTTGCAAAGAAAGGCCAAATACCTTACCTAGTCTGTGATATTATTGATGATTTTTTGTAATGCTTTATATTATTAAGAAATTAAGATCTATTTTGTTCTTGATGATTTATCATTAGAATTTTATTTGTACAAAGTTGTAGAAAATTTGTATCTGTAATTGCTGTATTTGTGTTTGTTTTTGTTTAATAACAAGTTTGAGTTGTGTTTATTGCTGGACTTTGTTGTTTTTGTTATTATGTCTATTTATATTTTATATGTGTTTACTGTTCTAAGCTTTTTTTTCAGAATAGTTGTTTTCTTTTTACTTTTTTAAATTTTTTTTTTGTATTTCTATATTTTGATAATCAGCAAAGATAGTTTAATTAAACATTCTATTCTAAAACTTTTTATTTGGTTTGCAATCTATTTAAACAGTGATTTATTTTTTTTTTTATATATTGCTAATGTTTAACAGTAAGTCAGTTGTTTCAAATCTGGGATGTTATGTAATCTATGAATGGGTTAGATTAAATAAAAATATTTAGAATTGAATGAGTTAAGTTTATAATTGTAGATATGTATTTTTTATCTACTTGTTTTGATTCTTTTAATAAAACTTACTATTGCACTAGCACTTGTATTTAATACACTATTACTATAATTGTAAAATTATAGCTTAGGCTTATACTTGGTTCTCAAACTAAAACAATAACCATCGCTACTTATAATACATGGTACATCTTATAATTATTATACGTATAAACAAAAAATATAGCAAGTAATAATTATATTATTTATATTATTTAAATTATAAAAAAATGAACATATAATTATTAAAAGACAAATTTATTAGAATTATTCAGAATTTTTCTTCTTATAGTTACAAAATCTTTATTGTATACTATCTAATTATATATAGAATCATAAAGTTATTAGATAAAAAAGAAGATGGCAATCCTAGTATTGTGATTTGATTGTTATTCTTTAAGCAGTAGGTCTAGAGCTCAAATCTTATTGGCAGCAGAATTTTAAAAATGGTCCTATTTTGATAACTTGAATAGAATATCTGAGGTTGTAATTCTGTCAGTCTGATTATACCAAGACTAAATTTAGAAGTGTACATTATTATATGAATAAATCCAAAAAGTATATATTCTATAAGAAGTTTTATTTGAAAATTACAAATAGAAAGGTAATATAATCTTTAATAATATCATATTTGTAACAATCTTAATCCAAAGAAAGAATCTTAAAAAAAATGATCTATATTGGTAAGAACTTTTAATTAATAGGTTTCATCAATCTGGTTGCTAGTTAATTTAGATATAAAGTTATATCATTTAAAGTTTACTAAATTGATAGTATAAAAGAACTTGCAAGAATAAACAAGTTACTAATAAGGTTGTAAAAAAGTACTAGAGTTGTATAAACTTTATAATAATATAGCAGTTTAATAATTAGTTCTGATTGCAAATATTAATTTAGTTATAATAATACTAAATTCATAGAGATCTGTATTAGGTCTTACAACTTGGTTTGATCTACAAAAAATTATAAGTCAAACTGGACTTGAAAAAAACTTATAATTGTAGATCAAGCAAGATAAAAAAATTTTCAAAATTATATAATAAATTTTGTAATTAAGCCAAGTTAAAAAAAATTTAACCCTTACCTAATCACTTCATTTTACCAGTTCAAGCTATGTGGCATTATCCAAACATACAACTAAAATCCAAAACATCAGTACCAGTCTTTACTATACCAGCATCTCTAGATAACCCAACACTCTTTTCTTCACTTCATACATCCAACCTTAATGTCGTATCTGATTCCAACTCTTCATCCAATAATGATCTACTTCAACTTAACATCTCAACACATAACGTGCAGGGATATAATACACAAGAAAAATGACTATTATGAGAAAATTACTGTCTAACTCATAATTTACATATAATTAGTCTTACT